TTCTTAACAATATTGCTCTCTTGCACTTTTACTCCTAGATGCATAGATATCGAGAAAATCATGAAAATTTGAGAATCCTTGTTTTTTGCAAGTTGTTGATGGTACCACTGGGGAATATAAGTATACTACAAAAAAACTTTTAGAACAAAAGTTATAGCAAATTTTATTCTTAACAATATTGCTCTCTTGCACTTTTACTCCTAGATACGTAGATATTGAGCAAAATACGAAAATATGGAAATTTGATGAATCCTTGTATTTTGCAAGTTGTTGATGGTACCACTGGGGAATATAAGTATACTACAAAAAAACTTTTAGAACAAAAGTTATAGCAAATTTTATTCTTAACAATATTACTCTCTTGCACTTATACTCCTAGATGCATAGATATTGAGAAAAATATGAAAATTTGAGAATCCTTGTTTTTGCAAGTTGCTGATGGTAGGTACCACTGAGGAATCTAAGAATACTACAAAAAAACGTTTAGAACAAAAGATGTAGCAAATTTTATTCTTAATAATATTGCTCTCTTGCACTTTTACTCCTAGATGCATAGATATTGAGCAAAATACGAAAATATGGAAATTTGATGAATCCTTGTATTTTGCAAGTTGTTGATGGTACCACTGGGGAACCTAAGCATATTACAAAAAAACTTTTAGAATAAATGTTGTAGCAAATTGTATTCTTAACAATATTGCTCTCTTGCACTTTTACTCCTAGATGCATAGATATCGAGAAAATCATGAAAATTTGAGAATCCTTGTTTTTTGCAAGTTGCTGATGGAAGGTGCCACTGAGGAATCTAAGCATACTACAAAAAAACTTTTAGAACAAAAGTTATAGCAAATTTTATTCTTAACAATATTGCTCTCTTGCACTTTTACTCCTAGATGCATAGATATCGAGAAAAATACGAAAATATGAAAATTTGATGAATTTCTTGTTTGTAGCAAGTTGTTAATGGGGAATCTAAACACGTTACAAAAAAACTTTTAGTCTGAAGACGCACGGCTAAACCCGAAACTTTCTAGTTCTAGGTCTAGTGTTAGTTCTAGTTTTACACTATCACTAGCATTAATACAAGACCTAAAACTAGAATCACTCGACTTTAGCCGTCTTGAGAGACGTGCGGCTAAACTAGTTCTAGTTATAGATCGATAGATATAAAATATCGATAGATAATAATCGTACGCTGCTTTACATAACCTTAACATGTTTACTATTCTATTGTTAGATGGCGTTACATTGATAATTTCTTATAACAGTAATGATGGAATTTGATTGAATTTTTTAATAAAAAATTGCTTTTAGTGTTTAAAGTAAATCGAGCTGAAATGGAATGGGTGATAAAACGTTGTGGACCAACGTGCGGCTCAAATGAGGACGGTTGTGTACGACTTCGAGGTTTACCGTTTGGGTGTTCGAAAGAAGAAATTGCCCAATTTTTTACGGGTAAGATTTGAAGTTAAATTTGTTGTATAAACCCTGTTGTTTGAGTGTTTTTTTTTTATTTTGGGGAAAAGGATTTTTCTATGATAGAAAAAAGTTAGGTTTTAAATGAAAAAATGAAATCGTAGAGAAGTCATTTAATTTTTTTAAGTGTTATCTAAAAATATAATAATTTTTTTAAGAGTTTTTTAAGGGATATGATTAACTGATGAGAGCGTTGTCTCTGGGTTTTGTTCTCTTTGTCTCTGGGTTAGGGTTGGAGCTTGTGCCGAATGGAATAACCCTACTGACTGACTACTCGGGGCGAAGTTCGGGGGAGGCTTACGTTCAGTTTGTTAGCAAAGAAGTGGCAGAGAAAGCTCTGCAGAAACATCGGGAAAAGATTGGACACAGGTGGGGAAAACGAATAAAAAAAGATAAAAATAAATAGATTCGATTCGCGTTTTCATATTTTCACTTTTTTATTCTTATTGCAAAAGGTTATTTATAAACCGGGAGGGTGGGTGATGTCACCTTCTACCTACCATATACCCATTTTTTCTTTCCATCCTGTAAAAATAATTAATCCTTACATTTTATCTGATTTACACACCCCTTGTTCTGTAAACTAAAAATGTTTTTCATATTCTCTACTTTTCTGACATTTTGACATTGACAACGTCAAATTTAATTTTCATTTCAGGAGCACCAACATAAAATAGTACTTTTTTTTAAAATTATATTTAACTTTATCGTTATTTTAAAAATTTTATTTACAATAATTTTTGTTATTAAAGACAAGTATTAATAAAAATTTTTAAATTAATAATTAAGTAATAATTATAATTTAATTTTTACATGGTTGGCTGTTCTAAACGTCAAATTTGTCAATTTAAAAAAACATAACCTCCAAAATATCAGATTTAAAAATAATTAGAGAATATGAGTGTTAATAACAAAAAAGATTTACTTCTTAATAAGAAAATTAACGGAGTAAAGATGTACCCGAAAATTAAAACTGTTTTTCTAAGTTTTTCTTTTTGGATTCTTTAATTGTCATTGTATCGTTTTTTTTTATAAATTGTTATTAATTATTTAATGTTAATAATACAGGTACATTGAGATCTTTCGAAGCAGCTTGTCAGAGGTGAACAGTGTCTTGGGTTACTCTTATCGGAGGATGGGTGGAAGTGGTGGTGGAGGAGGTGGTTCAATTGGTAGCTATTCAAGACCTGGACCATATGATCGTGGGGATCGCTATGGAAGTGGAGGTGGTGGTCGGTTCCAAGCGCGGGGATCGCGGAGTTTTAAAGGTGGCAATTCTTCAATGTCGGGTAAATAAAATAATTGATAATAATTAAAAATTAATTGTTTTGTTTTAGGCAATAATGGTGAGATGTTTATAAAAAGATCCCCGACGTTTGATATGAGTGATTGGAGTTCGGAAGATCGTGGAAATGGGGCTCATTGTGTACATATGAGAGGGTTACCATTTAAAGCAACCCAACTTGATATCTCAGATGCAAGTTTTTGTTGAAAAATTGTTATTTACTAATTAATTAATTTTTTTATTTTAGTTTTTTAAACCGATAGTTCCAGTAAATATTCGACTACTTCAAGACCACACCGGAAGGGCGTCTGGGGAAGCTGACGTTGAGTTTGCGTCTCATGACGATGCAGTGAGGGCAATGTCGAAAGATAAAGGACACATGCAACACAGATATATAGAGTTATTTTTGAATTCTTCACCGTCCGGAGGTGGGGGATCATCTGGTAATAACAGAAGAAGAACTTGAAAATATTTAAAAAGGGTAAAGAGGGGTGTATAAGGATGGATTTGAGACAAACATGAAGAAAGAAAATGGGTGATTGTTTTTTTTTGTATAATTTCTAATTACTCTAGTTCTTTTAAAGGCTAAAGCGACTCTCGTATATAACTACTACTTATTATACACATAATATACATTTTGTACCTTGCGTTACGTTGACTGTTGTGTTTTCAAGAAAAATTTAAAATGAGGGACTTGTGTAAGGTTTTTTTTTGTATAGATTAGTTCGTTTATTTTGTATCTGAGTCAATAAAAGGTATGAGTATTATAATTAATATAATTTCAATAACTTTTTATAAAAAAAAAGTTATAAATAAATAAGTTGATATAGTAGAAATCTTTTTTAATTTGACAAGTCAAATAATTTTATTTCCATAGGCTATAATACAGCATCAGAAATTGTCATTACATACTTAGAGACTAGGAAACTGATATTATATATACGTCATTTTATAACATACTGTAGTAATAAAGCTTCCAAGACAGGTTTTACCTGAGAGAAACATAACCTCAATTCAGTTGACAGTTTTTAGTTACTCATAATTTTCTTAAAAGTGTTAATATCCTTTCTAAACCATCCAAAACGGAAAGATTAGTGTCGGCTACATCTAATTTATTAGATTCCGGAAAATTTTGAACGATTTTGACTTTGAAAATAGGATTTAAATTTGTAAAATTCAAACTTCTTTTGTGGTTGGAGAATCTTGAAACTTCCAATGGACGGCTGAAATAACAGGATATATGCATCAAATACGAAGTTTCATCCAGGTTAGTGAAGAATTAAAAAAGATAAATATGAATAAAACAAGGACAGTAGAATCTAACAGGACTGCTACATCCATTGCACTCTACGTCACACTATTTGCCACGCCTGGTAACTGTCTGTGTTTTTAGAGGTTATATAATAGACATTAATACGTCTAAAAACATAAAACTTCAAAAATAATATGAATAAGTCTAGGATATAACCTCTAAAAACACAGCAAACGCATAGACCATAACAACAGCTGGGCGTGGAAAATAATGTGACGTAGTTTGCGGGCAGGTTGTCACAACAATGGATGTAGCAGTCCTGTTAGATTCTACTGTCCTTGTGAATAAAATAAGTTTTCGAATTTTGAGTAGTTCGAAAGAATTCCGTTAGATGGAGTTTTCGAAAATTAGAAGGATTTGACATCTGTCTTTATTTGCGTTATGATCTCTCTCTGGTAATGAATTTAAGAATAGAAATCTGTAATTACAACACTATTCAAATCCATCACAAACATACAATAAACAAAACCGTATAAACAATCACTAAAGTTTTAACAGTGTCGTGATCTTATTTCGTGAACAACAAATTTTCTCCACCGAATAGAAACAATTAAGTGCAATGTTATAGTTCTAATTCCACCCGAATATTTGTAGTTCTTGGTGTAGTGTTGGTTCTAATTCTACACTATCACTAGAACTAACACTAGATTTAGAACTAGAAACATTCGGATTTAGCCGCACGTCTCTCAAGACGGCTAAACCCGAATGATTCTAGTTCTAGGTCTAGTGTTAGTTCTAGTTTTAGACTAATATGATCACTAGAATTAACGCAGACCTAAAACTAGAATCATTGGACTTCACGGTAAAATTTGATAATGTAAGTATAATTAATATAATTTCAATAACTTTTTATGAAAAAAGTTATAAATAAATAAGTTGATATAGTAGAAATCTTTTTTAATTTGACAAGTCAAATAATTTTATTTCGATAGGCTATAATACAGCATCAGAAATTGTCATTACATACTTAGAGACTAGGAAACTGATATTATATATACGTCATTTTATAACATACTGTAGTAATAAAGCTTCCAAGACAGGTTTTACCTGAGAGAAACATAACCTCAATTCAGTTGACAGTTTTTAGTTACTCATAATTTTCTTAAAAGTGTTAATATCCTTTCTAAACCATCCAAAACGGAAAGATTAGTGTCGGCTACATCTAATTTATTAGATTCCGGAAAATTTTGAACGATTTTGACTTTGAAAATAGGATTTAAATTTGTAAAATTCAAACTTCTTTTGTGGTTGGAGAATCTTGAAACTTCCAATGGACGGCTGAAATAACAGGATATATGCATCAAATACGAAGTTTCATCCAGGTTAGTGAAGAATTAAAAAAGATAAATATGAATAAAATAAGTTTTCGAATTTTGAGTAGTTCGAAAGAAATCCACTAGATGGAGTTTTCGAAAATTAGAAGGATTTGACATCTGTCTTTATTAATTGGCGTTATGATCTCTCCCAGGTAATGAATTTATGAATAGAAATCTGTAATTACAACACTATTCAAATCCATCACAATCATACAATAAACAAAACCGTATAAACAATCACTAAAGTTTTAACAGTGTCGTGATCTTATTCCGTGAACAACAAATTTTCTCCACCGAATAGAAACAATTAAGTGCAATGTTATAGTTCTAATTCCACCCGAATGTTTGTAGTTCTTGGTGTAGTGTTGGTTCTAATTCTACACTATCACTAGAACTAACACTAGATTTAGAACTAGAAACATTCGGATTTAGCCGCACGTCTCTCAAGACGGCTAAACCCGAATGATTCTAGTTCTAGGTCTAGTGTTAGTTCTAGTTTTAGACTAATATGATCACTAGAATTAACGCAAGACCTAAAACTAGAATCATTGGACTTCACGGTAAAATTTGATAATGTAAGTATAATTAATATAATTTCAATAACTTTTTATGAAAAAAGTTATAAATAAATAAGTTGATATAGTAGAAATCTTTTTTAATGCGACAATAGATGGCGTTCAATTATCTATGTCAACAATATTTTTATTTTTACGAAAACTTCACATTTTGTTATCATAATTTATCATAAAGCATTATTATTATTTAAAACCCCGATTAAACCCTTTAAATAAACAAATTAACCACTTCCTTCATAAACGGAAAATAAAAAACAAATATTAACCGAACTACGTATCATTTTATGTTGTAACACGTATAAATACGTAATCATCATCAAGAATTAAAACTTTATTACTTTAACCACCAGTAACGTTTTAAATTCTAATCGAAAACTACGTATTTGAGTTAAAATCGCTTCGCTTTAAAATTATTTTTTAAAGTTTCATAACCTCAATTTAAAAAATAAATAAATAAAAGATGGGTGACTCCCTTAATAATTTAGCTGTGTTTAAAACGATGAAAATCGGTTTTATCGGTGGAGGAAATATGGCACGAGCTATTGCGGAAGGAATTGTGCAAAAAGGACTCGCCCCATACTCAAGCATGTACGTTTCGGGGCCCCACGAAGAAAATCTCAAAGAATGGAAAACGAAAGGTGTTCAAATCACCACCGAAAACGGGGTAGTCGTCGAGAAATCCTCCCTTATTTTTCTAGCGGTTAAACCACATATTTTACCCGCTGCTATCGCTAACGTTTACGATACAATCTCAGATTGGGAGTTGACTGACAATAAATTATTTGTTTCCGTTTTGGCTGGTGTCAAATTAGAAGCTTTAGAAAGTGTGAGGATGACAAATACTTCATTTCAATAGTATATACAATATTTTAATTTTTATAGATTTTAACAAGATTAGAAGGTAGCCGAGTTATTAGAGTAATGCCAAACACCCCTATGATGGTTGGCGCTGGTTGTAGTGTTTATTGCCCGGGTCAACATGCAACAGATCACGATTCTTTCGTCGTTAAAACAATTTTAGAAGTTTCTGGATTATGCCAATTAGTTCCTGAATCGATGATTGACGCAGTTGGTGCTTTAACCGGTTGTGGTCCGGCATTTGTAAGATTTTTTTGGTATAATTTAAGAATCATCATGTCGCTTAAAAAACGACAATTTTTTATTTTAATCGACGCTAAATCACTCAAAGACGTTACAAATTTAAAAAAATGGGGAAAGGTGTAAAATTTTGCAGAACTTGGGACCGATTGTATGTCGAAATCCCACCGTAAGATGGCATTAGCGTCTATACTGAAATAATTTAATTAAACTAACAATTTTATTATTAATAGTGGGAATGATGAGAGAGAGCAATAACAATTATTACCAGTATCATTCTTTTAATTTAAAAAGTATAGATCCCAATTCGTGTTATATTTTTAAATTTGCTGCTAACTTCAACTTTTAAAATTATAAAGTTGAAGTTTGTTCAAGTTTGTTCAGAATGACAGATGAAAACGTCATTTTAAAGTGATTTTTCGGTAAGAGTATAATAAAGTAATAATGGTATGATTAAATAATTAGATTATAATTGACATTATAGCTTTGTTTCAGCTAACATTATAACTGGTTTGAACTGGTTGGAAGCTCCTCAGATGCAATCTCACATGTCATTATTTGACAGGTGTAATTGCCATAGGTAATTGCATCTGAGGAATTATAATTGTTAATGGGGGCCACATAGTGGCTCCAAACACTTTCCAAACAATTATTCTGTGGTTGGAGCTTTTATATATAAACCAATTCCAACCTGTATTCTAGTGGTTCGGTTCTTAGCTGAATAATTCCAAAATATCCCCAACAGATGGCGCCACATGCGTTCAATTTTTAGAACATAGTTTTTGTTTAGAGAGTTACATTTCTACGAAGCTATTTTCTATGGTCAAAAATACAAAAATAGTTTGAATAATTTGCGCCCAAAGATAAATTACGTCACTAATTAGATAAATTCGTAAATTTTTAAAAACTGGATATCTGGAAGACGGTTAAGTTTAGGTCTATGATGTGCTACATAAATTTTGTTTAGAATTTCGAGATGAACTGAAATATGGAGTAATACACAGGATGTTCCATTAAAGAAAGCGTAACTTTGTTTCGTCATAACTTTTTAACTGATCCTGTATACGTAAGTTGTCTTTATTGTAATAGATTTTAAAAAACATTAAAACTTTTGTATCTTAATTTAGTGATACTTTACTTTAAAGTTTATCAGATTAATTTTGTGCGTGGCTATAAAATAAACAATTTGTAGGTTAGGTGTTGACCGGTTTAATAGGAAAATGCATGGTTAACATTGCTTGTAACCTCACATTTTACACTTTACCGCACTTTCTTTTTATTTTTGGCGTGTTTTTTGAGTCATTTCACATTGATTAAAATAAAATCGTCGATTTTTAAGCCACATAATGATTCTTGAATTTTTCCGATTCTTTTAATCATAAATTATTTCAAAAATAAATTTAATCATTTTAGATTTATTTAATAATTGAAGCAATGTCTGATGGCGCCGTTATGATGGGAGTTCCCCGAAATATGGCAACCAATTTTGCTGCACAAACCGTTCTTGGCGCGGCTAAAATGGTTCAACAAACTGGAAAATCCACGGGGGTTTTAAAAGAGGAAGTTTGTTCCCCGGGTGGGACAACAATCACTGGGATACATGCTTTGGAATCTGGGGGAGTTAGAGCTGCGATTATGAATGCAATAGAAGCTTCAACAAAAAAATCTGAGGAGTTGGGAAGGAAGTAAAGACAAATTTAGTTAAAAGAAACTCAATAATTAATGATGGAAACTTATTATATTATTATTTTTGAATAGAATCTAAATATTCTTTATATTTTTTTTCTTGTGCTGTTTGTAATTTTTGTAATTTCTTAATGAGACCTTTACTTAACTCATTTCCTTGCGCGTCGTGAGTGGGTAACCCCATTTCATCAAATTTCGAATACTTATCCTTCTCAGATTTAAACATGTCGATGGGATTAACACGTTTTAAAGCATCTTTGGCAGCTTGAGCTGCTAACATTTCAGCTTTTTTCTTCTCCTTCTCTTTTATTTTTTCTAATTCAGCTTGTTTTTTCGCTTCTTTTTCCTTCAACAACGTCTCTTTATCCACCAATTTAACCGCGCTTAATCCGCCTTCTTTATCTTCGAGTCTTACACCGACATTTGGGAGAATTTCATCTCGTAATTTATCGCATTGTATTAAAATGTCCGTTGCTTTTAAATTTTTTGCTTGGAGGCGAATGTTATCGCGAAATTCCGCTAGTATACTTAAATAAGGCATTATTATTGATTCAATCTAAAATAATCAAAACATTATTTTTTATTTTGAGGTTATGTTGGATAATTAGGAAGAGGATAGAGTTAAGGATATGATAAGGGAGGTGAAAAAGAAAAGTTGGGAAGAGTTCAAAACAAACTTAAGTGAAACATACTGATCGAATAACAAGAGATAATTGAAGGGAGATCAAAGAAAACATATAAAAGTCGCCATAAAGACAATTACAGGGGATATTCTAGACGTGTGGGCGGATTTTTATGCAGAAAATTTTAAGGATGGAAAACGGACACAAACAATGGAGGATGAGATAAGGGAAGACACTACAGACATAGCAACTGAAGAGATAACAATGCAAGAATTAGGAGAGGCAATGATGAAGATGAAAACTGACAAGGCATCAATTGGAAGCGTAAAAAATAATCACGGAAAAGGTGATCAAAGGCTGTTATGAATAACAATAAAAGTTTAGATAAATATCTGCACATATCCTCACTCAGAACTGTATTGGTTGAGATAATCTCTATATCTCAATGTTCATTTACATACCTAAGGAACATATTATGGCAAAACAAATATGTCCTTAGAAAGCAAGATCTATATATTATTATATAAGATCTGTTATGATATATGCGATAGAGGTAAGAACAGAAAATGTTACCATATGTGTTATCATATGAGTACTTGGCCAGTATAATATCACAAGATGGAAGGATAGATTTAGACATAAAGGCATGAATAAGGAAAACAAACAACGTATATCATACTCTAAATAGAACCATTTTTGAGATAAGGTTGAAACTGTAGAACTCGGTGGCAATCCCAATATTAACATATGCCAAAATCACAGCAATGGAAATGAAATGTTTATGGAAAATAGTGGGGATAGGATAAGGAATGAGGAAATAAGAGTGGAAACAGATGAAGAGGAGATAATCAGCAAAATAGAGAGAAAGTAACGCCCACATAATTAGAATGGAACATAACACAATAGTAAAAAAAAATTGTAGCAAAGAATAAGGATAAGAAAAAGAGGGGAAGACCTAGGAAGAAGTGGGAGGAAAGAATAGCAGAAGATGGGAAGACTCTATAAAGCAATTAGCCAGGAACCGGAGGAGTGGAAGAAGTGGATGGAGAAATAGGAAAAGATTTATCCGACGCCATAAGGCATAAAGATCTTTGCCCACTACACCATAATATCATACCTATCTACCGAATTTATGTACAACCTTCAACAATACATACCCAGGCTGTAAGACAGCACAGAATAGAATCGAATGGAACAGAATAGGGGAGCTCTATGTTCAACAATGGATGCAGAGGGCTGCTTGATGATAATAATCATAATAACTTGATGTAATCTAAATTACGACAGATTCGTTTAATGATAATACGTCTTTGATTGTTGACAATTCCTCGTCTTCAACGTCCTCTTCATTTTTTTTTTAAAGCGCAAATGGTATCACCTGAAGGACTTTGGATATCCTCAACAAACAGGTTCCTTTCACCATAACAACAATGTCATCAGCATACACTTGTGTTTCTACACCAACGGTTTCGATTATTGCAATCAGATCATCAACCAGAAGGGACCAAAGCAAAGGCGTTATTATTATTACTATTACTGCCCCCTCGTTACCGCGACCTATAAAATCTATTGTAACTTTAGCCATCCAAAAGTTTAGGGTAAATATTGCCTTGAGGTCTTGAACCTTTATGTCGGTATGTGTCAAGAGAGTTTTACCGAAAATGTTGTGTCTTAGGTGGCTTCTGGCGACGCAATTGCACAGTATATGTTCAGCTGTTTCTGACTTGTCGCTTGTCTGTGACCTGGAAGTTCTTTCCAGCGTAAGGGTATCTTTGTGACCTCCCAAATGTTAATTATTTGTTTTAGGTGGCTTTTTTGTAGTCCACAACCAGGTTGGGGTCCCTTTTCAGTGTCCTCAATGTTGTTGTGACCTGGAACCCACCATAGGGTAACATCATTGCCCCTAGCGAGTTCTCTCAGGTTGCTGGTGCACTCTCTGATCAGTGCGGAATCACACGTGTAGGCCTGAATTGCCTTTAAGGCGGCCCGACTGTCTGAAAATGTTTATGGATACACCTTTCTGTCTCTTCTGTAGATTCAAACCGGTGCAGAAGTTTATAGCAAGAACTTCTGCTTGGAAAATTGTTATGAAGGGCAGTTAAATGTGGCCATTTAGTCCATTGAAAGCACGGGAGTTAACACAACAATGTATGTAACAGATCTGGTGCTGCACTAAACGAGATCTGAATAGACAACCTAAGCCTTGACGTCACAGAGATGGGCGGAGCTTATACTGACTCCAAACTAATTTTCGTTGCTAACTGTGTTGCTAACGGTAAATCACCGTAATATATGTAATTTTCCATTAATGTTAAAAAAAATAAACTAAAGGTGAGTTTAGACATGCATGGGTTTAGTGGCGCCAGTAAAGGTTAACACTACATGTGAGAAAACAAAAATAAGTGACACGCCAGATTCATTTTTAAAGTGTACTGCACAGTGCTTTGTCGAGTGAACTTTCCGAAGCATGCAAAATCGTCGCTAAACTTTTAGTGGAAAAAAAGATAAAAGGAATACAGAAAAAGAAACGACGAAAAGATCGTGTCATAACATAACCTACATTTGACATTAAAAGATTTTGTGTTTTTGTGGATACTCATCTATGTTGTCATGGTTACATGTTTTTAGACTCATCACTGGGGCCAGTGATTTCAGAAGGATGCAGACTTTTCTGATCCATACATGCATGATTTCAACTTGCATGCCAGTTGATGTTTACACTACTAAATCCATGCATGTCTAAACTTACTATAAGTGATGACATTTCAAATGACATTTTTTGGCGATTTATCTTAGCAACTGTGGTTAGCAACGAAATTGTTTGAAGTCAGTATAAGCTCCGCCCACCTCTGTGACGTCAGACTTAGGCAGGCTGTAGACTGTTGATTCATTGCAGTGGGCATTGTAGTGTTTTCTTACGTGTTTGACACGCTCCTAGAACGGTATAGTGGGCAAAGACCTTAAGGATCTTAAGGAGAAGAGGTTATATTGAATTTTACTCACATTTCCGGTTGTTTGTTGTGAAATTGGGAACCCAACATCGTTATTTTCATTAATGGTGCCAAAAATTTTCAAAATTTTAGTGATATAAACCGCGATATCAAACAATAACAAATTATTAACGATTTTTTGATCCCTCAAATATAAATTAGTCGCCGTAACAAGATCTCGCATCGTCTCCAAAACGCTCCGCGTATCAACGTTATCACATAAAGCGTTATGAACCAAGTTTTTCGTGGACAAAAACTTTTCGTTTAGCTCCAATTCGTTTCGGTTCCATTTTAAGAATGTCGAATCGGTCGTCGTTTGATTAATAGTCCCTCTCGTAACGTCTTTGACGTTCAAAAAGAATTCGTTGAATAATTTTTCATATTGAACTGCTATCTCCATCGTGTTTACGCTGTAATCTAAAGTGTCTTTCCACGAATGTAATAAAAACGCGAATCTTAATTGTCTTGATGTGTAATTTTTCAAGGCATCTTGAATGGTGACGAAATTTTTTAACGATTTCGACATTTTACAACCCGCGATTGTAAGATGTCCTGAATGTAGGAAATATTTAACCCATTCGGATGAATCAAAATACGCCTCGCTTTGAGCTATTTCGTTATCGTGATGGGGAAATTTTAAATCAACCCCTCCGGTGTGGATATCTAAATTTTCACCACAAATAGCTGTGGCCATCGCGGAACATTCGATGTGCCACCCTGGTCGTCCTTTACCCCATGGGGAATCCCAAGCGGGTTCACCAGCTTTACTTCGTTTCCACAACGCGAAATCATTCGGTGATTTTTTTTCTGATGTTTGTTCACTTGTGGTTAAATCTCCTTCACCTTCTTGAAGACTTTTAGTGTCTCCATAAGCTTCTGGGACTAATTTGGCATAGTGATGATGCTTTTTTGAGTCAAAAGTTGAAACATCAAAATAAACAGACCCATTTGCTTCATAACCAAGCTCATTCGAGATGATTTTTTGAATGTACGTGATAATTTCTGGGATATATTCACTAACTCTGGTTAAAACGTGGGGTTTTAAAACGTTTAAAGCATCCATATCTTTATGAAATTCTTTTTCCCAATGATTTGGGAGATCAAAAAATATCCTATTCTCTGTAACAGAAGATCCTAATAGAGAATCTAACCAATCTGATAAAGGATCTTTGCATTCTTTAAGAAATTGGGTTTTTGCTAAAATAATTTCGTTTTTATCCCCTTTTTTAATGGAATTTTGTAAATTTTCAACCGCTAACGTTAATCGTTCTAATAATTTATCATACATTAACTTTTTATCGCCATCCGTTGTCGCTTTCGCTGTTTCAGTAAACTTTTTCATAACCTTAAATGAAATCATTAAGATTTTAACCACAAAAATAAGAAAATACCAACTAATTCCGCATCGTTTAAAACATCCTTCAAGTCTTTTTCTTCATTTAAATACTGTTCGTAAAGATAATTTTGTCGAGCCCTTTTAATAATTTTATCATCGATATCAGTAATATTCATAACATACAAGATATCATAACCAAAATAATCACTCAAAACTCTTCGTAGTATATCAAAAGTTATATACGACCTGTAAATTTAACTTTAGCGCGTGAAATATCAATGGTAAAATTTACCTTGCGTGTCCCATATGGGAAGCATCATAAACGGTGGGTCCACAACTATACCAAGACACCTTTTTTCCATTTTTGGGCACAAAAACCTCTTTGCGCCGAGTTAAACTGTTGTAAAGTTTTAAAACCGGGGCGTCTTTTATTTCGTAAGGGGTCCATTCGGGTTGGGAACGCTTTGCCATGATTATTAAACGAAATTAGCCACGTTTGCACAATTTTTTTTAATGAGAATTCGAGTTTTGATTAGATTTATAACCTCAAAAACCGGTGACGTTTTTTTGACAATGATGTCTAAATGATCGTGGCGACATCTATGTAGAAAATTTAAAATGAATACTAATAAAAAATAATTAAGAATAAAATTAGATTATAATAAATTAAATATATTTAATTTAATTAAAATTGTTATTAAAAAGACAAACATTTTATTTTGCAAGATTAACAAATTATTTTATTCAATTTTATCTTTAAAGATGGTCACAAATAAGCTGTCAAAAGAAAGTTCTAACCTCACCTTAAAATTATTATATACTTTAAGTACGAAGGCTTTCACGGCCGGTGTGAATTACACTAAAATTCGAACTAAAACTAGAAACTTTCGGATTTTGCCTTGCATCTTTTAATAAAAGGTTTGACGTTTCGGATGCCATGTTGCAACCTTCTTCCGAAACTGGTTCTGAAGAAACTGGAGTTGGAACCAGTTTCTGAAGAAGGTCTTTCATTATATACTTAACGTTGTTTTTGTAGGTTATAAAATCAAAAAAGTGAAATAGTAAAATATGTCGAAAAAACTTAAAGAAACAATCACTGATGTTCCAAAAAAAAAGGAAACCCAACTACTGGTAATTCAGGAGCTAGATTAACTTGTGGTGTTGTTGGAATCGCTAAGTTTTAAATTTTTTCATAAAGTGGTTAAAAAAAAGATATAGGTTATGTCTTTTTCTATTTTGAATATTTTTAGGTTGTTGAGTTTGTAATAACTTAAATGTGGTTATAATAAAGCAGTTTAAAGATTAAAAAAATGTTTTTTAATGATTAAAATTGTAATGAATCGTTAATATTTTAAAAGTTGCTTTGAAATTAAATCAATGTCGATAAAACAGATTCCGCAAATAAAATTTTAGGTTAAAATGTCATTCACGTTGTTTTTGTAGGTTATAAAATCAAAAAGGTTAAAATATGTCGAAAAAACTTAAAGAAACTGCTGTTCCAAAGAAAATAAAGGTATTTACGAAGAAAAAAAATCGCAAAGCTGAACCGGAAGAAAAACAAATCGAGAAGCTTCAAGAAAATTATAAAAACATTGATTCTTCAAGTATAAAACAATTTTCTGATTTTCCATTTTCAACGAGTACACAAAAAGGATTGAAAGATTTCGGATTTGTAAAACCAACGGAAATTCAAAGAGAATGTATAGGATTGGGGCTCCAAGGTTATGATATTTTAGGTGCCGCTCACACAGGATCGGGGAAAACCTTAGCGTTTATTATTCCAATATTAGAAAAATTATACACTTTACGATGGACAAGATTAGATGGATTAGGTGCTTTGGTGATAACCCCAACGAGAGAACTTGCATATCAAATATTTGAAGCTCTCCGAAAAGTGGGAATTCACCACGATTTCTCAGCCGGATTAATTATTGGGGGAAAAGATTTAAAATTTGAACGAAACCGAATGGGGCAATGCAACATCGTTATTTGTACCCCCGGAAGGCTGCTACAACATATGGACGAAAATTCTTTGTTTGATTGTGTTAATTTAAAAATTTTGGTTTTGGATGAAGCCGATCGATGTCTTGATATGGGTTTTGAGAAAACTATGAATGCGATTATAGCAAATTTACCTTTTGAGAGACAAACTTTATTATTTTCAGCGACTCAAACAAAATCAGTTAAAGATTTAGCTCGTTTGAGCTTGAAGGATCCTAAATATGTTTCAGTACATGAACATGCAAAATATAGCACCCCATTAGGTTTGGAACAAAGTTATATGATTTGTGATTTGGACCAAAAAGTTTCTGTTTTGTGGAGTTTTATAAAAAATCATTTAAAGAAGAAAACAATTGTGTTTTTATCAACTTGCAAACAAGTTAAGTTTTTTAATGAAATGTTTTGCAAATTACGCCCAGGAGTGAGCCTTTTAGCACTTTATGGTACTTTGCATCAATTAAAACGAATGGAAATTTATGAAACTTTTTGTAAGAAACAAGCTGCAGTGTTGTTTGCAACTGATTTGGTTTCGAGGGGGTTAGATTTCCCTGAAGTACATTGGGTGGTCCAAGTTGATTGCCCAGAAGATTCTGATACTTATATTCACAGAGTTGGAAGGACGGCGCGTTATCATAAAGATGGGGAAAGTTTGCTTTTATTATTGCCATCAGAAATTAAAATGTTGGAGGAATTAGAAAGCAAAAAGATTCCCATCAAGAAAATTGAAGTTAATCCTGAGAAGTTGAAGAATCCAGTTCGAAAAATGGAGGCGTTTTTGGCTTCAACTCCATCACTTAAAGATACATCACAAAGGGCTTTTGTGTCTTATGTAAAATCGGTGTTTTTAATGAAAAATAAGAACATTTTTGATGTTGATAAATTAGATACGGTTGAGTACGCGAAATCTTTGGGGTTAAGCATTGCCCCAAGAGTTAGATTTATTGATAAAATGAAGAAAAATGAAAAATCGAATAAAATTATTAAATTTAATGATGAAAATGAATCAAGTGATTATGAAAATGAATTAGAAAACGAAACTAAGTCTGAATATGATAAGAAAGATTTTTCAAATTTTTATAATAATAATGATGATGATGATGACGAATTAGATTTATTTAATGTAACAAATCGCGATAAAGAAATAGCTCCATTAAAACCAGAAGAATTATCTCAATTAGAATTCTTAAAAAATTCCAAATCGAAAAAAATAATCACAAAAATAGCAGCTGCTAAAAAAGTTTTAAAGAAAAACTTTGTTGCTAATAAAAAAGTAGTTTTTGACGACGAAGGTGAAATCGTACCCCAAACTACTAAAGAAAAGCAATCGGAAATAGCCCGAAATTACGAAAAAACCCAACCGGAAGTTTCAGGAATTGACATCGAAACTGCTAAAATCGTTTTAAAAGAGGAAGATCGTTTCGATAAACAATTATTTAAAGACAAAGTGAAGGCCAAGAAAAAGGAACAAAAGAAAAAGTTAAAATTGAAAAGAAAAAGGGGTGACGACGAAGAAGAGGTTGATGATTTTGATGAATCTGATGGTTATGAGCCTGATTTGTCTTGGTTACCTGATCCAGATAAAATTTACGGGAAAGAAAATGCAGAAAAAGACGTTGAAAATGACAAAGATGAAGAAAAACAAAAAATTAGGAAAACCAAGAAGGAGAAGGTTAAAAAGAAAAAACAAAAACTTTCTGAAGATTTAACTGTTAATGAAGCTGAAGAACTTGCTATGTTACTTTTAAATAAAAAATAATTTTTTTAATCTAAATTTTGATTTTCTTTGTAACATTTCTTTTTTGATTTTTGACATTAACCCTTTGTGTCCCAAGAAGTCAAAATTTTTGAAACTTTGTGACAGAATTAAAACGCTATCAAAATACACTCAGTAAAGGCCTTTGGAATCAATTTTAGCAAAATATGACAATCCCCCCATTCCAGGGGGATAGTGGTATTTGAAAGTACTGTCAGGCATTGAAATATATTTTAGTGATGTTGCAGTATACAAAAACTTTTATTGCTAATATGAAAATAATACATTTTTTATGACGTTAAAAAATAAGTAACACTTGCTTTAGCTAAATCACATTATGATATTCAGAAAAACAGTTCTTTTTTTCATTACAACATAAATAAACATTGCGCGCAGTCCATTTTGAGTGGGGTCTGGACTCAATATAGCTTTGGCAGAACAATTTTCACACCTTCCTCTTTCTTTTCCAAAAGTAATCCATTGCGTACCACGGTTCCCAAGTTTTACGTCGTCAGTAACAGAATAGCCGTACTTTCGTCTTTTGGGTAACTGGGCTGGTGAACTTGCGCTACGACATTTTCGTGGACGCAGTAAGAAAAGCCCGTGCCACCACTTCTTGAAACGGCGGTCGATTGCATACACTTGTCCAAGTTGATCGGCATGATCTACCGAACCCATGTTTTTATTGTAATCATCAACGACTGAAGGACAGTACAAAGGTATGGCAAGTAGTACACCCAACCCTTCAGCATTACTTCAGAAAAGTTTATAGCTTGGCAAACTATGATAACTCATTAAGAAATTTATGCCAAAGAAACACAGCAACTTTTCTTCTTTCAAGTTTAGCGTTTTATTCCTTTGGGTGGCGTACAAATTACTTTGAAAGGTAATATCTTTCACACAGTTATCCATCAGTGTTAGAAAATAATCTGTTTGATTATTGCAAGTTGCAAAAGTATCACCAATTATTCCTTCTGGATAATCGTATAATAACCTGTTTTTTCCGTTTTGTCAATTTTCTATCAATTTCTGCCTTGTTCTTCTTCTTGAGCCTTTTGCCACGTATTTCTACTACTTCAGTGTCACTTTCCTCATTTTGATTAGTTAGTTGTTCACCATTTTCTTCTTCATGTTCATCTTCCAGCATAGGTATCTCACTAGCACTAGTTATAACAATGTCATCTTCTATGTCTGTCTGTTCAGAATTATCCAACCGGATATTTTGTAATTCACACGAACTTTTTCAACCTCAACCAAAAGTTCTTCATCAGTCAAAGCTTTGTTCAAGTACCAAAACGTATCTGTATTCGCTTGGCTCATTTTTACGTCAATCTCAATATTGTACCTTAAAGTACCGTCGGGACACAAAGGGTTAATGGTAGTGATATAAGTACCTACCTACCGCTGTCACTAGAACTAACATTTGAACTAGAAACATTCGGGTTTAGAATCACGTCTCTCAAGACGGCTAAACCCGAATATTTCTAGTTCTAGGTCTAGTGTTAGTTCTAGTTTTATTTGTTATACAGCGCTAGATTGAAGCATATTTTTTTGAATTAAAAATAGAACTAACACTAGACCAAAAACTAAAATCATTCGGCTTTAGCCGTCTTATGAGACGCACGGCTAAACCCGAATATTTCTAGTTCTAGGTCTAGTGTTAGTTCAAGTTTTAGTTTAATTAAAAATATGCAACATAGTGAGAGAATTAACATTATCATTCGGGTTTAGCCGTCTTGAGAGAAGTAAACCTGAATGTTTCTCGTTTTAGGTCTTATGTTAGTTCTAGTCAGCGTTGCCAACTCAAAATATGTCTAGGAGGTAGATACGATTCTAAAAGTTGGTAGTTTCCAATTAATCACACTATGGAAAGTAGTAGTTTCACTACTTTTAGACGTTACTAAAGCAGAGCAATATAAGTAATATAAATATAATTGTCATATATAATTGTATAAATATTATAATAAAAATATAATTGTATAAATACCATTGTCTTTAAATAGTAATATTTAAATAGTCTTTAATTTTAGGCCAACCATTTGTATTGTAATTTCTATGATGTTAGCAACCAACATTACACAGACAATAAAGAATGAAATTAATCATGAAGTTAGCTTCCTTTCTAACTTCATGTTTAAGATCCCGGTTTCATTTTGTTTAGGCAGCACGCGTTGAGGTTATTTATCTCCAAAAATGGCAAGTGACACGAAAAAAGACAAAAAACTCCGCCCTGAAGAGATTCTTGCCAGTTTTAACCAACTAAGACGTGAACAAAGTGTAATTGGAAGTAAATTAGATGAATTAGAGTTTGATTTAAACGAACACAAGTAAAAAATTAACCCTTAAAATTTTTAACCTAACCTCACTTTATATTTTTTCGTTTTCTTTTTAGGCTCGTTATTGAATCTCTAAAAACCGTTGATGGTGGTCGGAAATGCTTCAGATTGGTCGGAGGTATCTTAACAGAACGAACGGTTAAGGAGGTTTTACCAGAAGTTGAAGAAAATAAGACAAAATTGGAGGAGTTGTCAAAGATATTTCACGAACATCTCATTGCAAAAGCACACGAAATTTACGATTTTAAAGTGAAGAATAATATTCGTATTCATGGACCAGAATCTTTGAAGGATGAAGTCGAACCGGAATCGTCTAGTGCACCTAAAGAAGCCCGAGGAAATGTTTTAGTCTCTTAAAAATATTTAATTCTTAAAGGACAACTAAAAAGGAAAATTAATAATAAACCTATTTAACTTTTACAGTAAATTTAAATTTTTAATTTTAAGGTTGTATTTGATTTTAATTTCGCTTTGTTAAACGCTTATAATATGGAAATTAACATGAAATAATAAAGTTATTTTCGAACGCTTTGTGACGTTGTTTATGAATTTATTTTTGGAAAATTTATAAATATAAAATGTAATTTTAAAAAATTTCTTTCAATTACAGATTCCTGTAATTTAATTTTAACATGATGAAGAAAAGTAAAACGAGATGGCGCTTATTTAAAAATTAAAATAATTATTGAATTAATTTTATGATAGTGCTAGTGTAAAACTAGAACTAACACTCGACCAACAACTAGATACATTCGGGTTGGCTAAAAAAATCTAGTTTTAGGTCTTGTGTTAGTTCTAGTGACAGTGGTAGTTAGCGCTAGTTAGCATAAGATATTCCTATGTTGTACATTTTTATTGACCTAATTAATGATGGAGTTAATTAATGATTTTCAATTAATTACTTACCATTTTTTTCGTTTAATAAATCAAATCGATTTTATTTTCAATTAAGAAAGTTAGGTTATGTTTTCTGTCAAACTACATTCCCTAATTTAAGGGGAATATCGCTTACTGGAATCCACACTCACTTTAAACGGATACTTTGGGAGTCCAAAAACGTATTTTGATGTTTTTTTCGCTCCATTTGAACTTATTTTTTAATAAAACTCGATAATATTAGCATGAAGTATATCGATGGTTTTAAAATGTCAAATATGATTTAACGTAGGCGATTAACGCTAGACGGCGTTAGTGGAAAAAAAAGGGTTTTTAAGATTTAAATAAAATTAAATGTAAAAATTTGAAATTTTCTCCTAAACAAAGATTAATTTTCTTTCCTTTAATTTTCAAACAATATAATTTATTGAATCAAAGTTCTTTTAGAAGAAAAATAAAAAATAAATTAAAAAATTGACGGTAGATGGGGGTAAGCGAAATGTCAAAAATAACATTTAAATGTAAAATTTAAATTTTCGTCTAAATGAATGCATGATAAGTTGTGTGTCTAGTGTTAGTTCGAGTGCTAGTGATAGCTTGTTTTAGATGTTATACATCGTTAGATTGTTGTTTATTTGTATTGAAATAAAACTAGAACTAACACTAGACTAGGTCATGTGTTAGTTCTGGTGATAGTTCTAGTTCTAATTTAATAAAAATATGCAACATAGTGATATATTTTCGAACGCTTTGTGACGTTGTTTATGAATTTATTTTTGAAAAATTTATAAATAAAATATAATTTGAAAAAATTTCTTTCAATTACAGATTCCTGTAATTTAATTTTGACATGATGATGAAGAAAAGTAAAACGAGATGGCGCTTATTTAGAAATTAAAATAATTATTGAATTAATTAATTTTTATATTCTAATTCATATCTCTAAGCACGGTGTGTTGATAAGGCGAGTCTGGTCCAATTCCTCTATAATTTCTGTACATATAAGGACCCATATACAGTAAATAAACGATCAAACAAAGTAATAAAAGAATAGCTATTGCTAAAATGGGAATTAAAATCTTCTGGAGTTTAATACTTTGAGTTGACATAAGGCACATGGGTAAATGCCTCTCTTCTAAAAGCATTATTTTAACGTTCCTTATATTGGTTGGAGCCATACATCTATTAAAAAGAAAATTAGAATTACAAAATTCTTTATAAGACATTGTTACCTCATATTTTCTTGTTTATAATAAGATCCATTTAATAATTGCAGCCACAAAATATCACAATCACAAATAAAATTGTTATTTTGTAAATCAATAAAATCCAATTTTCTAAATAAGTGATAATAAGTTGAGTTAAGCTTTTGTATTCCACTCCTTGCCAAAACTAATTTCTTTAAATTTAATTTTTCATTCTCGCCCATTAATCCAAAAGCAATCGGGTTAAATTCTTTCAATTTCGGACAATTCTCCAAATACAATTCTTCCAATTTTTGTAAATTATAAAAACCATATTTATCGATTTCATTTAAATTAAACAAACGATTCAATTTTAAAACTTTTAATTGGTCGTAAGTGAGATGACTCACTGTAATTTTCGTCAAGTTGTTTCCGGAAAAATCCAGGTACTCCAAGTTACTTGGAAGCGATGGAATTACATCGAAATGATTATCAGCGGCGGTGAAATAAATTATTTTATCACCTCCATCAAAGAAATTATCTCCAACTTTATCTAAACCCAAATAATCCACATTTAAGTGAGTAATGTTTTTTGAAATCCCAAGATTTGGGTCAAAAAACAATTTTTTTTCCTCAAAAAATTGCCCCAAAGGATTATATCCCAAATTTAACGATTTCAATTGATTTAATTTAATAAATAAACCATCGGGTAATTGAGAAAATTGATTAAAACTTAAGTCGAGATATTTTAGTTGCTTTAAATCGGAGAAAGCATCTTGTTTTAGCGCCGTTAAAAGGTTATGACTTAAATTTAACGATTCCAAACTCGGAAAGTTTTGAAAAAAACCATACTCAATATAATTAATCTCGTTATAAGACACATCGAGAGTCTTCAATGCTTCCGTTGTGGTTGTATCATCAAGTTTTTTTATATTATTATGAAGCAAATCCAATGTTGATAAATCATCGGGAAACGATGTCATATCTGGGAAACGATCCAATTCAATCCAGCGACAATTCGCACTTAATTCGGGAAAATTCGTTAATTTATTCGTTTTATATTCACACAAACACTTATTATCCGATTTTGTTAAACCGCACAGATTTAATAACCCATTTGCGGAATAAATTAATAAGAACAACACTGATAATAACAATAAATTAAACATTTTTTTCTTGTTTTGGGTTTAGCTTTAACAATATTTTTATCGATCACACCCAAAGTGTTAACGTTTTCATTCGCGTTTTCAACTGATAAATGTCGTTTGAGATCCCTCTCTTATCTTATCGTTAAACCAAAGTTAGTTAATAATAACTGATAGATAATAATAATAACCTGTTTGTCACCGGACTGAGTTTGTTCATGGTAAATAGATGAATCGCCCGTTTTTCAATTTTCAACCGTTTGCTTTTTGATAAGATTGAATCGATTAAAAAGAATCTTTGAAGTTTGTGTAAATATAATGAATGATTTTAACTTCCATGTAAAATTTGGTTTACTAATAAATAATAAGGTTAACTTACCGAAAGTCAATTTTGAGTGGTCATGGAGCGCACGGAATATCTGAAACAATATTATCTATATTAAAACATTGTAACTTGTCTCTGTAACTTCGTAATTTTCTTGGAGATACTAAATAATATTTTACACACACTTTGCAGAAAAATTTACTGTTTTTGGGTTGATGGTAGAATTAAGTATTAATAAAGTCATAGATTTTGCTCTTTAAGTTTAGGCTTGCGATTGAGGCCCTGCAATATATTGACCAATCTTGCGTGGATGTGATATTAATTTTAAACCTCGGCCGCAAATCTCATCTTAATCAGGAGATATCATAAATTTTGTGCTCTAACTTTAGCATACCCGCTACTATATATTGGCCAAGTTTGGGTAAGGTTACGGACTTTACACAACACTGGATAGATTGATAAAGGTTACTTTTGTTTATGAAAGTCAATCACTCTAAAGTTGTAAATGTTGGGCAAGGTTATGGACAATACATCGCCACCGCAGGTGCCATAAGTGAGCACTGCCACCACTTTGAAGGTAATACGTAAAGGAAAATAAACCTTGAATCGTATTAAGATATTGAACATAATCACCACCCCAACCCAACTTACAAGTTGTAACACTTGGAAATCAGAGAATGTCATAAAAAAAACTTTTAGAACAAAAGTTGTAGCAAATTCTATTCTTAACAATATTGCTCTCCTTCACTTTTGCTCTCAGATGCTTAAATATCGAGAAAAGCACGAAAATATGAATATTTGATGAGTTTCGTTGTTCTACTAGTTGCTAATGGCAACAGTAGGGAATCAAACCATGGTATAAAAAAAATTATATAACAAAAGTTGTAGCAAATTCTATTCTTGACAGTATTGCTCTGCTCCACTTTTGCTCTAAGATGCTTAAATATCGAGAAAAGTACGAAAATATGAAAATTTGATAAATTTCGTTGTTCTGCAAGTTGCTAATGGTAGCACTTGGGAATTGGAGCATGTAATAAAAAAAGTTTTAGAACAAAAGTTGTAGCAAATTTTATTCTTAACAGTATTGCTCTCCTTCACTTTTGCTCTAAGTTGCTTAAATATCGAGAAAAGTACGAAAATATGAAATTTTGATGAATTTCGTTGTTGTACAAGTTGCTAATGGTAGCACTTGGGAATCGGAGCACGTTATAAACAAACTTTCAGAACAAAAGTTGTAGCCAATTTTATTCTTAACAGTATTGCTCTCCTTCACTTTTGCTCTAAGATGCTTAAATATCGAGAAAAGTACGAAAATATGAAAATTTGATAAATTTCGTTGTTCTGCAAGTTGCTAATGGTAGCACTTGGAAATCGGAGCACGTTATAAACAAAGTTTCAGAACAAAAGTTGTAGCAAATTTTATTCTTAACAATATTGCTCTCCTTCACTTTTGCTCTAAGATGCTTAAATATCGAGAAAAGTACGAAAATGTGAAAATTTGATAAATTTCGTTGTTCTACTAGTTGCTAATGGTAGCACTTGGGAATCGAAGCGTGTTAAAAAAAAATTTATATAACAAAAGTTGTAGCAAATTCTATTCTTGACAGTATTGCTCTGCTTCTCTTTTGCTCTAAGATGCTTAAATATCGAGAAAAGTACGAAAATATGAAAATTTGATAAATTTCGTTGTTCTACAAGTTGCTAATGGTAGCACTTGGGAATCGGAGCACGTTATAAAAAAACTTTTAGAACAAAAGTTGTAGCAAATTTTATTCTTAACAGTATTGCTCTCCTTCACTTTTGCTCTAAGTTGCTTAAATATCGAGAAAAGTACGAAAATATGAAAATTTGATAAATTTCGTTGTTCTACAAGTTGCTAATGGTAGCACTTGGGAATCGGAGCACGTTATAAAAAAACTTTCAGAACAAAAGTTGTAGCAAATTTTATTCTTAACAGTATTGCTCTCCTTCACTTTTGTTCTTAGATGCTTAAGTATCGAGAAAAGTACGAAAATATGAAATTTTAATGAATTTCGTTGTTCTACAAGTTGTTAATGGTAATACTTGGGAATCGAAGCTTGTTATAAAAAAAATTATAGAACAAAAGTTGTTCAACACAACTCGAAGAACAAAGAATTCCCCAAGTTTATCTATGAACATGAACATTTTTATTTATTTATGAACATTTTAATATGATTTTTTCATCTTTATATTTGAAATATAACGACTAAAGTATAAAGCTTAAAGAAAATCGACCCCTACATCTAAACTTATCCACCCTTATTGTAGGCTAGTTGATTTTTTTATTTAGCTTTAATAGGATATAGTAGGAGGGGTTAGTATGCGTGTGTTTTGTTACAATTTGCGCTAAAGCGAAGGGGTCCGGATGTAAATAAACACGTTAAACCTAGATTACAGATGTAATCCTTCTCTCTTTTTTTAACCCGATGCTAATGCACCCGACATCACGCACATTGCTTCGTTTCGACGCGCTCAACAATCGGCAAATGCGATTATGTCCCGATTCCGCGTTATACCTTCCGAAACTGTTAGCGCAAATGTAGTATGTTCATTAACTAATCCCTAAATAGCAATAATGAAATACATTTTAATCCGGTTATTGAACTAAATTTTGAATATATAAAAATATTTTTGGTGTGGCACAACCTTTTGTATAATTTTTCTAGCACGATTTCAGATAGGATCTGTCCATAAACCGTGACGAGAAAGAAAACGACAAAGGTTTTGTCCCATTTACACTCGATCTTCTTGTCAGATAGGGGATATTAGCACCGCGGCGTTTTAATCTTAACAATCTGGACGCACACAAAGAGTTTTCTAACAAACAAGCAAAACCACCATCATCAGCAACAGCAGTTAATCGCGGAGGCGGTAACGGTTTCCCGAAAATTTCGTTCCCTCTCACATCATTAAAACATCATTAGAACACATTGAATTTCCGGTTTCCGCAAAACTTTTAAAACAAACCATTTAACAATAAGAAAGAGACTACTAAAGGATCGAGAAGGATCGTTCTTTTTTATATAAGTAATAAGAATGAATATAAAGGGGATAAAAATGAAAAAGAAGAGAGTATATTGAAAAGGGACGACGAGAGAAAGAACGCTAGAAATGAAATCAAATCTGTGCCGAGGAAAATAGGCGTAAGGGATTGACAGCGGGATGAAAATTGAAAAAGGAAATTTCTTTTCAGACTCAATTGTTACGGGCGGCCGGTCAACGACGGAGGCAGCGTCCGCGTTGGGGGCCGAGGGTCCTCCCCGGCAACCAGATTACGGCCCCATTGTGCCCTCGACGGCGGATGCAAACTAAACCCGGGGGACCTGATGTTATTCGAGAAGTTGGATGTTAACGTAAGCCCGAACCCCCTTTAACCACCCTCACTGTGAACACCCCCAAACGTTTTATTCTAAAATCAGAGTTCAAATCAAAAACTAATTAAGCTAAATTAGTTGAAATTACTTAAAAATATAATATATTTTATAACATTATCTAAATGAATAAAATGGAACTGATACAGATTAAAGATGTCTCCTGATGATGGTATAATCCGAAACCGGTTACTTCCCAGGGCTGGGTTGGTGCTCAGAGGACGCAACGGGGCTCGTTTTTGCTTTAAGGGCAAGTCCAACAATTTTGGACGTGCATTTTCAATTTCTCTTCTAATCCGAGCCATCAATACGTTTTCAGAATAGCCCTCGTTGTTTCTTCGGGTTTGGGGTGTCTCGCGATTGATAGAGCAGAACTTGTTGATGCATGTTCTGCGGTATAATCAGCTGATTACCATCGGAATATCGCTTCTATAGCAAACCCTCGTACACTAAGTATTGAGTTGAGTTGGGTTGGGACGTCAGAGAATGGCAACTAAAAGGGCCACAAGTAGATTACTACACAATAAAAGCCATAACGGGCAATGGAATTTTTGCAACATACTTAAAAAAATATAAATAAAATAAAGTTTGATGCCTGCTGGCTTGGATGTAAAAAGCAGGACACTCCAAACCACACGTTTCTTGAATGCCACAAGTTAGGCAAAGACTGGAAGAAGAATATGAATTACACAATTTGTGATCCAGTCTTCTATTATCCTGCTAATATTTGCTATCTAAGTTCCTTCTTCTTTTATTTGAGAGTCATTTAATTTTTCACTAATTTAAACACAATTATAACGTCGAAGAGTGAACAGAAGTGGTTTTGTTGTAGCACTATCAGCCTTGGTTCCTGGTACTAAGTAGCATCCTAACTAAAGCTTTTCTACAACTTTATCGAGCGTAGAAATAGTCCTACTTTGCATTTTACTTGTGTAATCTTGAAGGTTATTGGTGATATTCCTCATAATAAGTTAAGATTTTGGTTTTGAGTTTATTATGTTTATTAGTTTTTCACATAACTTCATCGCATTATTTCCATCATTTTCGCCATTCCTGCTGCAAATCATGAAGAAGAACGCCTAAAACTACGAAGGGTAGGGGAGACCGGGGCTAGTTGTCGCAGGGGCAAGTTGTCCTATTCCCTATATCTTAAAACGTATATACAGAACTTTTACATACCAAACCAGTACCTTGAGCTGGACTACAGTGGCCTTCTTTACCATTCTAAATTTAGATCTAGTTTGTAGAGATGGCAGCATCGTATGTTGAGAAACGTCAAGTTAGGCAGAAAAAGTAAATTTATTGGGTTAAAACTTTCGTGTGATTGTGAAAGAATTGCGTGTGCTCGTTGTTTTATTTAGTTTAATTTCACACCATTGTTCAGATTCCTCATCTGGTGTGCCCTTTTTGTTGCTGTAAAATGCTTGATAGTGTTTCGAATTCAAACCTGTATGTAGAAATACTGTCAGGGGCGGCCTATTTGCGA